CTGCTGATGTTCAGGTTTATATCAGTATGTAGTGTCTCTACTTTTATTTTGACTTCTAACATGTTGAACTCAAATACCTGTACTTTCTACTTCTTACATGTTGAACCAAATACCTGTACTTTCTACTTCTTACATGTTGAACTCAAATACCTGTACTTTCTACTTCTTACATGTTGAACCCAAATACCTGTACTTTCTACTTCTTACATGTTGAACACAAATACCTGTACTTTCTACTTCTTACATGTTGAACTCAAATACCTGTACTTTCTACTTCTCTCATTTTCCAAACAGGCTGGTTCCTTTAGTCTGAATGTGTGTTTGGTGGCGTGATCATTATTATTTAGAGTCATTGCGTGCCTATTGATTTGAACACGATCCGTGTATCCATCATTTTCTGGTCTTCTCTAAAGAAGAGGGACCAATGGAAACGTTGTCATGTTGCCGTTGTTCAGCATGGAAACATTCATTAGCTAACAATTACATTATTGTTCTATTAATATAAAGGGAGGTCAGGTACTCTTTAAAACAGCTACTAGTTATGGGTACTTTTTACTGAAGTACATTTCAAAGCCTCTTTACTTTGACTTGAGTAAAGAGTCAGTACTTCTACTTTTACCAGAGTATGTTTAAACACGAGTATGTGTACTTCCACTTGAGTAAAGGATGTGTGTACTTTGCCCTCTCTGTGTAAAGTAATCTGATTACATGTTTCCCCTCAGCATGCTCTCTCGTGGGCTCGTGCTCCAGCTGCCTGTCTGAACTTTAACTGCATGCTCATCCTGCTGCCGGTGTGCAGGAACCTGCTGTCCTTCCTGAGAGGAACCATCCAGGTAAACAAGCATCTAGATAAATAAATCCAATGTGCAGCACGTGTCGTTATCCTTTTAATATTGTTTTTCTGTGTGTTTGTTCTCAGTGCTGCAGCCGCACCGCAGCTCGACAGCTGGATCGAAACATCACCTTCCACAAAATGGTGGCTTACATGATCGCCTTCCACACGGGTAATATATCAGTACTGGGAATCTGAAACACACACACTAGAGAGTCACATAGAGACGGCAAACAGCCCCTAAGAGACACACACTGAGATCTATAACTACCAAAGAGACGCCAAATCACCAAATAGACATAACTGAAAAGCCAGCAACTAGAAAGAGGTCTTTTAGGATCTGTGGCTCTTGTTCAGGGGGGAAAGGCCCTCTATATTAACCCTTTAAATCTAAAACACGCCCCCAGCAGCTCCTCAGTCCCATGAGACCTGGATCACTGAACCTGGGGTACATTCAGTCTGTCTAAAGTCTCTCTCCTCCTGCAGCCGTGCACATCATCGCCCACCTGTTCAACTTTGAGTACTTCATGGACGCTCAGCTGAACAGGAACAGCAGCTTCCTGCCCTTCGTCCTATCAGAGATCGGCTCTGGAGACAACGCCTCCTTCCTGAACCCCATCAGGACCAACGAGACGGTGAGAAAACACACAGGAAGAAGTCTTTTATTTCCTCTCTTGCTTCCTCCTCTCCTTCCCTATCGGTTTGCTCCTTAGTTTCTCCCCTTGCTTCCTCACTCATCGACACACTTGTGTGTGTATTATCAGGTGTCAGGGTTCTTCGAAGGACAGCCCTAATGAGATAATAATCACAATAACAAAAGACAGTTAGGACTCTGCAGACTCAGATCTCTCCGGTGGGATTCCTCCTCTGGTTTTCCGACCTCTTGTCTTTTATTTCTGAGAACCAGCACCCCAGTCACCTGATGCTTCGACTACTATTAATCATCGTTTGTCTCCGAGCCAGAATCAAAAGTCCTCTGTTGCTCAAATCTGTGAAACCCCTACTGCTCTATCACCACAACAAATATTATTACTTCATCCAACACACTTCCTCTGTCCTCAGATCTGTGGTCAGCCACTTCCTCTTTGCAAGTACTTTATTAATCTCCCATGCAGATGATTTAAAAGCACAAAGAAGGAGCCGTTGGATCTTCTGTGTCATCAAAACATTAAATATGAAGCTGGGCGTCCCATTATTATTGTTTAAAATCAGTATGTAGTGTCTCTACTTTAAAGAGTCCTCTCCTGCTGATGTTCAGGTGTATATCAGTATGTAGTGTCTCTACTTTAAAGAGTCCTCTCCTGCTGATGTTCAGGTGTATATCAGTATGTAGTGTCTCTACTTTAAAGAGTCCTCTCCTGCTGATGTTCAGGTGTATATCAGTATGTAGTGTCTCTACTTTAAAGAGTCCTCTCCTGCTGATGTTCAGGTGTATATCAGTATGTAGTGTCTCTACTTTAAAGAGTCCTCTCCTGCTGATGTTCAGGTGTATATCAGTATGTAGTGTCTCTACTTTAAAGAGTCCTCTCCTGCTGATGTTCAGGTGTATATCAGTATGTAGTGTCTCTACTTTAAAGAGTCCTCTCCTGCTGATGTTCAGGTGTATATCAGTATGTAGTGTCTCTACTTTAAAGAGTCCTCTCCTGCTGATGTTCAGGTGTATATCAGTATGTAGTGTCTCTACTTTAAAGAGTCCTCTCCCTGCTGATNGAGACACTACATACTGATATACACCTGAACATCAGCAGGAGAGGACTCTTTAAAGTAGAGACACTACGTACTGATATACACCTGAACATCAGCAGGAGAGGACTCTTTAAAGTAGAGACACTACATACTGATATTCCAGGTGTTATATCAGTAATGTAGTGTCTTACTTTTAAAGAGTCCTCTCCTGCTGATGGTCAGGTGTATATCAGTATGATGTTCAGGTGTATATCAGTATGTAGTGTCTCTACTTTAAAGAGTCCTCTCCCTGCTGATGTTCAGGTGTATATCAGTATGTAGTGTCTCTACTTTAAAGAGTCCTCTCCT